ATTTCACTGTGCCAGCCCCACGGCTGTTTAGACTGGTTGTGGGGCCTCGAGTTTCAACGCGTTTCAAATAATTCTTAATTTATTTTCAATCAATAACGGACGGTGCTAAATACAAACACAAATATACAGGAATTACACGGATAAATACGAATTACTGAATACTGGACAGAAACAGCTATAAATACTGACAATCTACTTACAAATATCTATGACAGGACACTGGTATCTGGAGAAAAACGTAGGAACAAGTCTGCAACACAACAAAGCGCCCCAAAGTTCGATATCGCTAAGCTACTTCAATCTAAAAATGGCGCGAAAAACCCGGAAGTCCGCCAGCCGGAAGTCGCGGCTGCTACACACAGTACTTGAAGGCCCATATTCAGAAGGAGCACCAAAAGAAGTATAAGTGTGACGATTGTCAGAAATGTTTTCACAGTAAGCGAAATCTGGAGAGGCATGAAATGACACATACTAAAGAAAAAGTCACATGTTAAGTTTGCGGATCATGTGTAAGTAGCACAAGCTTAAAACGTCACATGAAACTAAAACATGCTTAGGGAAGAATTCAAGACCTGAACTCAATCAAACTGTTTTGTCAAATTAATTAAAAAGACAATGGCTTTGCCAAAGTTGTGTTGCATATTAATATTTAGGTTCTTGTGAATCTTCCATAGATTTGTTATTTTTACCTCATTTTTTATTGTTTTGCTAAAAACAATAAAATAAGGAATGATGTTTACAGTTTATTCATATTTCATTCTCAAGTTATCACTCTTTCTATATTTTTCGTTGTGATGTCACTAGTTTGACTTGAAAGGTGGTCAACCCCTCTTTACTAATTTTTTTTTCAATTTTAAAGCAATTTGTGTAAAAATATCATTTTCTGAAAGGTTTGAGTGAAAGAAAATACCAAATATAAAATTTTTTTGCAAAGATGTTAATTAGCCTAATTATCCAATATGGCGGACCTTAATTAACCCATAATTGCATAGCAGCGTAAACATCATAACTTGAGAACCCGTTATCAGAATCTAATAAATGATATATTTTCAAGAAGCTTAGAACCAGGGCTAGTTCCTGACCATCTTCAATTTTTCATACAACCTTTTAAAAAAAGATAGAGCAAAAAATTGAATTTTTGACTTTTTAGCCAGCTATTTTAGGCTGTCAGCTGTGAATAACTTACTAACAATAAAAAGGACTGAAATTTGAAGATGGTCAGGAATTAGATGGTGTTACAATTAGTAAGTATGCCAATTTTCAACCTTATACAATAAATATTTACAAAGTTAGAGTGTCACAAAGATCGCGGACTTGTGTCAAATCGCGAAATTGAGAAAATCCATTCAAAGTTGTAGTTTATGTTTCTTGTGCCTTATGAAGGCTTAGAAGCCCCCTGCTTCATAAGTTACACCTTCAGTGCATTCAGCCTTGTCAATGTACTTCTTTCTGAGGTGTCTCAATGGTTTTCTCTTCATTTTTACCTTATCGGTGCTTTTCTTGGCCTATAGCTTGATTCTTGCTTTGTCGCAGTCGTCAGCACCCTTGCATGTGAATAAGCCGGGTGATATATCCAGATCCTCAAAGATTTTGAGGAATGAAATATCACCATCATTGAACTTAAGCACAGCTAGGTTTGTGGCTAGAGCTACTGTTTCCTGCTCGACATAAGTAGTTTTCGGACATCTGTCCCAAATTTGCCCGTTTAAACATTCATTCGCATTTTGGGTCAATCCATGTGTACATTTATTCAGCAACTCGGGCTTCGAGAGATCTTGAAAAACTGGATAAATCAAATCAACAATGGGTTGTGGAATGCCATTCTTATGTGTGTATGTTTCATTGTCAATTTAATAACCACACCAACTATCATTTCCTTTGGGGCAAAGATGATGCTGTGGGTTTTCATCTGTGGAAGCAACATGCAAAAGAGATGCCTGAATAGCATTGGCCATTTTATTGACATCGTCCAAATTTTCTCTTATTGCCAATCCATAGTAGTTTGGCAAGACATCAATTTTTCCATCGGTAAGTCTACCTTTACCGGATAAGCCTTTTCCATCAGAAAGTTTCCTACCTTTATTGGAATTCTTGAGTCGTCGCAACCTGCTCCCAACTCGTTTTTGGACATGGCCAATACACTCTAGCTTATTAGGTATGCAATCCTCTCCATATGGTTTACTTTCAACAACAGCACTATGAGTGGAGGAATCACCATCACCAACCATGTTCGTATACTTTAGTCCCCTTGTTGCAGATGACCGGTTGAAAATCCTTACCGCACCAACTGTCTCCATGCTGTTGGAACTCCCCTCATGGTTGATTTTACATTGGTGTGTTGCTTGCCACTCTTTGTATTTGGGGTCATTCTGCTTCTTATTCCATTTGAGACATTGTTGGCACTTGTCGGACATAACTTCGACATCGAGGCATTTTCCGGTATCTAACGAAATCGCCGTGACAACCCCATTGTGGGACGCATGACCTCGTTTTTTCCAGGTACCATCAATTGATATTCCGCATTCCTCAGAATCATTCATTTGCTTAACATCCATGGCATTATTCAGCATACTGTCATTTGCACACTGTTTTACAACTGGCAGGAGCTTTTTATTTTGGATCTTGGTGAAGTGATTTCTTCTCGGTGGGGCAGGCATATTCATTATCTTGCTGAAATTGGTCATGGCATTGTGTCCTCTACCAATTTCCCGAAAGGCCAGGACTGCTCTCACATTTATTTCAAATGACTGCCCTTGCTTCTTTGATGAGTTGAAGCAATACTTCCAATCATATCCCTTACACTGTAGCACAATGTAATGAGAATAACCATGCTTCTTTTTCATGTCCACATGTGAATTCATGTCATCCCCGCATTCAGGACATTTTAAAATGTCATCAAAGACAGAAAATAGTATGGATAAGTCCATAAATATTGTTCCTTCCTTAACAGTGTCGAAATGTTCCTTATTACTCACAAAGTTTTCTTTCTGCGTGCCAATTTTAGCTCCAGAAGGTCCAGCTAAGTTGTCACAAGGGTCGCCATGTTTGAAAATTTTCGACTTCCTTGATGGCGGTCTTTTAACCTTTTTTCTCTTTCTGTTCTTGATATTTCCCATTTAATTATTTCAAATTACAATTCAAAATAACAAAAGGAATCTTTATGATACTATAACAGCTACTTTTCGGCTTGAAATTTTCAGAAAAACGAAGATTTTTATAGACAATTTCAATGTGCTATAACAACAAGCGATCGCGAGAGAAAGACTGGCCCTAAGAAGATGTGTTGCCATGGCTCCCCAAAGCAGCCAATCACAACGCAGCTGAATCATACATACACCAAAAGGTTAAACGGGAAAAACTATAGTTTGAAGGGATTTTTGAACCAAATTTCGGACCAAAATGTGTTGCTAAGGCGTTGCTAAGGAGTAAATTTTCAAATAAGGTCATTTTTTGAGCTTTTTTCACATAGACTAACTTTTTTTTCACAAAATGAACTACACAGTTTTAATCTACAGATGTTTAAGTACCTAAAATCATTAAAAAAAAATTTTTTAAAAAAATTTTAAAAATCAGTTTATAAGAGGGGGGTGACTATACCTCAATTGAGATAGTGAAAAATTTAATTATATTCAATGAAAATTGGCACCCATGTATATATTTAGGGCAGGTCATGTGGTTGTCATGGCAACACACTATATACACAATATAGAGACTGCAATTACCTGAGAATGAAATATGGATAAATTGTAAACATCATTCAAACAGTACTTTTTAGTAAAACAATAAGAAAGTTTGTTTCATTAAACACTTTAATATTACAGACACAGTCACTCTTTGAGCAAAGTTATTCAGTATATGTTTACAATTGAAACTTCAATTACCTGTAGTTCCGGAACGAATTCAAGTTTGGTGATTTGTAATTGGCCGATATTACCACAGGTAAAATAACATTGTCAAACAGTGATGGTGTGTCTTTAATTAATTAATATATGATTTCAAATTTGAAAAAAAGTCAGACCCTAAATGACATTGTTCAAAGGGCGACTGTGTGCTTTTAGAGAAAATTGGATCAAAGCTGTTTTTAGTATATTTAATTTTTTCTGGGTATATACATACGGTAACATTGATAGTTATAAATAACAAAATTCATTTCCAAGTTAGAAATTAGTAAAAATGTCCACCTCTAGTCGCGGTAGTAATGTTTACAATTCTTAGTTCACATATTCTTTTCAAATTATTTAAAAACATGACGTGTTCTTGACTTCATTACATGTGAGCCAGACTTTCTGGACACATTAGTATTCTGTGCAACAGAGACAGCCAAACTATGACTTCGCTTTGCCTTTTTGGTTGGAACACCAACAGCAACAAATGCAGCTGGGCGACCTTTAGCTACTGCTTGATGACTGCCATTGCTCGACTTTCTTTTTCGGTTAGGCTGAACCTTTATCTTCTTCCCATTTCTTGACTTACTTAGCTCAGCTGCCCCAGAATTGAAGAGTGCCGAGGTTAGGTTACCATTCATGGATTTCATCAGCCTCTGGAGTTTGCACGAAAACTTCAAGACTCCTTCCGCTAACTTGGGGTCTTCACTATTTTCAAGCTTTTTAACAAGAAGACTCTTTAAGAAGAAGTCTGTTCAAGAGAATCCTTGGCATTCTTCAACAGACTCGATCTTCCCTCATCTTGGGATTCCCTGATAATTCTTGCATACACTGCTGAATATTACCAATAATCTCCACATCAAAATGGATTATTACTAAAATCATTAAACTGTGAAAATCCCCGCTAAGAATATTTTCGCTAAACGGGAGATCATAAGATAGAT